GACCAATTATTTCATTAAAACATTATCTTCACACTTCCGGATCTGCTATAACGAGTCTTCTCTTCTTTATCCTTCTGGCCTAATATTTTGCCATTCTTTGGTTTAAGACCAAAGAAAAGAGAGCCAAAGGAAAAGAATGAGAGTCTTGGCAGTATCTATGATTTACTAACAGCTATTAAAACCTGCGATTTAGGATCCGTCCCTTCTCCTGCACGAAGGAAAGGAATACTGCAGGAATTTAAATGCCTTGGTGCAAGACACCCATGGCAGCTCAGGCAGCTGTAAGGACCTGTGTGGCAGGATGCTCTTGCAGGTAACAAGGATGCCAAATGAGGGCTTGAAATGAGCCTGTGCCTGGGAACTTGAAGGGCAAGATCAGAAAGCAATAGGGATGAAAACTCCTTGCGTTGTCTAATATTGCCTCTAATATTTCACTGTCTGGAAGATACCCAAAGAGGCTATATAAGATATCTAGTTTACACACAGCAGAAACTGAAAGCTGGGTGATGGGGTGGGGTAAAGTGTGAAAGAAGGGGAAGGGAAATGGCTAACAAACCTTCAAAAGTACTCAGAAGGATGCCCACAGAGCAGATTTCTTCCAGACAAGCAACATAAATAAAGCGTAATTCAGTGAAGTGTTATCATCAGAAAACAGAGTTCACAGTAAGCATCTGACTCTGCAGCATAAATCTTTGTTACAAATACAGACGTTCGAGCAATCACAATCCCTCTGACGAAGCAGAAAGCAGAAGCCTCTGTGCCTGCCTGTGTGGGAATGGAGTGCTGCAGTCTGGGCACTCGGTGGAGAGATGCTATCGGGGGTTGCCACGGAAACCGGAGGATGCAGACCCAGCAGCTTTGACTTTGCATAAACTGACAGCGAGTTCAGCTGGGGACGAGACACCAAGAACGCTGGTGATTTCCCCCAGCTCCCAGGCAGGATCGTGATGGGGCTGCGCTTGCAGCTTTCCTGCAGTCAAGCCTCCTGCCTCCCCGGCCCACCCTTTGTGTCCCCCCGCTGCGTACAGGCACCACCACACACCCACCCCATCCTCCTCCTCCCCGGCCAGGCAGCACACACAAAGGTCATCTTCCTCGCCCATGGCTTCCATCCGGCTTCCTCCACACCAGGCTGCTGCGTGACAGCTTTGAAGTATTTTTGAGCTTTCTGGACCAATACCCTTATTCTCTGGAGAATACCCTTATTCTCTGGAAGCAGAGATTTTATTATTATTATTGAAGTTCTTTTCATTGCAGAGGGAGCACTGATATCCCACCTCCTTTTAGAACGACGGAAGGAAGGAGGAAACACCATATGATTCATACAGATCTAGAAAGGATCACCTCAGAGTTTAATGTCAATTTTTTTTTCTGCAAACAGCCTTGATTCTGAGGGAACCTATCATACAGGGGAGTCCAGCACCAGGTGATTTACTGCCACCTTTGGCAATGTCGCTCTTATCTTCTCATCCCATATCACTCCCGCTGTGCTATCCCCAACAGGAAAACTGCAGTGGAAAACAGTCGTGGTTTGGAGAAGAGAGATCCCCTTTTTCCCTCCAAACCCTGAAGTGATGTAAATTTCATTTTAAAATGTCCCTTTAGGATAAATTTCTACTGTTCATTTATTTATACACACCTGAAGGCAGCATTATTTGCCCATAAATATTATGTATGTTAATTCAAATGCAATCTTAAACTTGTGTGCAGGCTTCCCATAAGACTTCCCTGTTGTTGCACCACTGAAGCCGAGATCCTAATGCCACAGAGCTGTAACATGGGTTTTCTTCAGCGAAATGGCATCCCAAAGCCATGCATTAAGTCCTCTGCAAAATAAAATTCATTCTCATAAAACTCACAACAGTTATATCCGACACAAGGAGCAGAAAAAGTCAGCATTGGGTATTTATGCTTCATAAGAATAACTGTGCGGGTAGGTCCAGGGAGCACTATTTTCGTCACAGGTTTGTATCCCCCCCAGAAGACATTATTCAGATGTGACACAGACAGATCATGTGTGAAGTGGCTGCTGACAGAAGGTATTTCGGGAAGGGAGATTTTCAGCTGGTGGCAAGGGATAGCACTAGGCAACGTTAAGTGACAGGCTAGTGTGCCAGCTCTGATTTACCACCCCTTCTCCATATCAGCGACATCCACTTCCAAATTATAAGTCATTTCTTTCATGTTACTTGGAAAAGTGAGAAAGACTTAAGGCCAGTTTGTTTGACAGGACGGCAGCCGTCACTCCGTGTAAGCAGACCCCAAAATGAATGAGCAATCCAGCACATGGAAGTACAAAGTCCTGACACTTTAATTATCTGAAGAGATTACAAGATGAAAGTTTTCACTGAGGCAAATGTATATTAGTATTGATATAGTCATTGTGCTTTTCAGTAAGAGAAATAGGAGTCTGTATTTACATAAGAAACTATAGTGTCTGAGATCTTTAAATATCATATTTATGGAAATGATTCTGAATTACAGCATTTACAAAATAAAAACAAGCTTGAATAAATATTCAGTCCATTAAATAAGATTTTTTTTTTCCACAGAAGCGACTTTTTGTGCATATTTATTTAACAATTGAAGTTTGTTGTATTTTTTATCCTATAAAAGAAGCATTAAATTTGTTGGTTTCTCTTCTAAAAATAAAACTGCAATAATCATTGCAATGTGAAGCCTGAGATTTAAGCCTGAATAAGTATCATTGCTTGCACCACATTACCCACCTCCCACCAATCGCCCAACTCCATGCCTTGCCACTCTGGTGAATGCCAACACTCGAGGATTCCATGAGAAGGATTTCAGGGAAATAATAATAATAATAATAAAAATATAAAGAAGGTGAGGATAACACATCATAGCCAACATTGTCTACAAACAGCATCATAAGGCTTGTGCAGTACACATAAACTAAGTGAAGCTGTTTCATCCAATTCAACACAACAGTGGTGCCAAACTGTTGTACCCTTATATGGCTCATTAACACTGAATATTAAACCACTTAACAAAGGGAATGTCTCCCCAAAAAGAAGTTAAAAAAAAAAAATCAACACTGGCCAGTTCTGCTTTATCATTTTGCATGACCTTTCTTGAGCATGATACTGCAAACAGCTTCCTCATCCTTTTTTGTATTTACCACTTTGAAAGGCAGCGTGTACCACCGCGAGCCAGGAAAGGGGACACAGCACAGCGCTCTTGATCTCCTTTCCTCTGTAACCACAGCACACGCTGCGTTGCTTTTCACGTGGCTAACTCCACGCACGTCCAAACGCCTCTGAAACCTCAGTGCTCAGGGAGCTCTTACTGCAGGTAGTTTGTGCAAGATCATAGCGTGAATCCATGTGAGTTACTTCTTTCCTCTCCAAGTGGAGACAAAAATTAATCCCTGGTGTTTCAAATAAATACAAATGTCTTCTGAGTTGCTAGCATGAGTGAAGTAACAGTATGCAATATTTTACACAGTTACTCTGCCAAATGTGGACAACAAGTACCCATCTCTGACTGACCATTCTGTAGGACCTTTTGAATACATAATTAAGTATTTGCCTTTTAAAAACCATTTGCAAAACTCAGTATGGGAGAAATACTTTGTCACATCTACTGAATTTTGCTGCTAAACTCTTTCAAAAATATGTATTTTAATTTTAATTTGTTTGGTAACCATTAAGTTTTAAATACTGATATAGAAACCAAAGCTCTGTGTTACAGCTTTATTAACAGGATTTAGCATAAATGATGCAGATTATAGATACTTCCAAAACTCCAAAATATGGAACTGGAAGTTGTAAAACTTCATTCTTAGAAAACAACTTGGAATTATTGCTCTGCTCAGTAAATGAAAGGCAACAGAAATACAGTGCTGAAGGACTGGGCAAGTCCTGCCTGACCAACCTAGTGGCCTGCTATGACGGAGTGACTGCATCAGTGGGCAAGGGAGAAACGACAGATGTGATCCATCTGGACTTCTGTAAGGCCTTTGACATGGTCTCCCACAACATCCTTCTCTCTCAAGTGAGGAGATACCGATTTGATGGGTGGACTGTTTGGGGGCTGAGGAATTGGTTGGAAGGTCGCAGCCAGAGGGTAGTGGTCAACAGCTCGATATCCAAATGGACACCAGTGACAAATGGTGTCTCTCAGGGGTCCGTACTGGGACCAGTACTGTTTAGTATTTTCATCAGTGACATAGACAGCGAGATCAAGTGCACCCTCAGGAAGTTTGCAGATGACACCAAGCTGAGTGGTGCAGCTGACATGCCAGAAGGACAGGATGCCATCCAGAGGGACCTGGACAAGCTGGAGAGGTGGGTCTGTGTGAACCTCATGAGGGTCAACAAGGCCAAGTGCCAAGAGAAGCGTGGCCAGCAGGTCGAGGGAGGTGATTCTGCCCCTTTACTCTGCTCTCGTGAGACCTCACCTCAAATCCTGCATCCAGCTCTGGAGCCCCCAGCACAAGAAGGACATTGACCTACGGGAGCGGGTCCAAGGGAGGGTGACAAAAATGATCAGAGGGCTGGAGGACCCCTCCTACGAAGAAAGGCTGAGAGAGTTGGGGCTGTTCAGCTTGGAGCAGAGAAGGCTGTGGGGAGACCTTATAGCAGCCAGTACTTACATGGGGCTTATAAGAAAGATGGGGAAAATCATTTTAGCACGGGCTGATGCGATAGGACAAGGAGCAACAGCTTCGAACTAAGGGAGGGTAGATTTAGACTGGATATAAGGAAGAAATTTTTCACCATGTCTGGCACAGGTTTCCCAGAGAGGTGGTCGATGCCCCCTCCCCGGAAACGTTCAAGGCCAGGTTGGACAGGGCTCTGAGCAACCTGATCCACTTGAAGATGTCCCTGCTCACTGCAGGGGGGTTGGACTAGATGACCTTTAAAGGTCCCTTCCAATCCAAACTAATCTAGGATTCTATGCTTCAGGACCCTCAGTGCTTCCTATGTGATTCACAGAAAATTTTGCCTTTGCAAATATTCAATACGGATTTGAAATAGTTTTGCTTTAACTATTCCTAGCATAGCTAGCAAAAATCTAGTAATGGGACAGTTAAACGCCAGCAGGAGGGAGAGCGCTGACATCCACAGCCATGCTGGTATTCTAGTGAGCACAGAAGTGTCCGAGCTTCGGGACTGATTTCCTGGGATGGACTAGTTCACCACCTACTCTGTTCCTAGCATGTAAGATAAGCAGCAATGCTTGTTCAATTCTGAGCCCTGTTTCCTTCCACACAGTGCATTTGTTCTGCATATGGCAGCGTAACATCAATGTTATAAATTTATGGAAGACTGTACTGTAGCCTTAGAGCTACAGACGCTTCATACTTCCCTTTAGCAGCTTAGTAAAATGCAATAAAAATTGTCTGTACAAAATTTATAATAATGGATGTCAAAGCCTACGTGCCCTCATGGGGTCCCTCTTTCAAGTTAATTCTTGGCTCAGGTCAAATACATCAGTCCGTGTAAGACTCCAGGAGACACCAGTAGTTTAATATGTCAGATACCAGCTTTGTCACTATAGAAAGGAGTGACATGGAACATGTAACAGTGAGTGCAAACACGGACAGGCTTCATCTGACCATAGCGAGGTAATGGAGCAGAGTGAGAGGAACAGCGGGAACAGAAGATCTGAAAAAAAAAAGAGGGAGATTTCAGTTTAGTTCCTTTGAAGATCTGGACGGGACAAAATTGATTTCAAGAGAGGGGAGAGAAGACGGTATGCGCTGGGCTCCTGTGAATCAGCAACACCAACCTCCCTCAGCACAGCAAGCGAAAGCCCTCTGCAGGCAACTCGTAGCCCGATGACTACTGAATCTGACCGCGCTTAGCCGCTCTGACGCGCGTGCCCAAGCGCTGGCTTTAGCCAAGGCAGGCCCATCTGGCTCTGCAGGTCACAGGGGAAGGCAGCTCCACCAGAGATGAAAAGAAGCATCTCCCTCCACTGGCTTTAAAGAAAGGCTAGGGGAGTATTTGTGAGTATCTCCAAAGTTCCTACTCCTGTGAGGCCACTATGAAGTTAACAAAAACAGCTTCTCTACCCGCTTCCTTTTTAACTTGTACACCAGCAAGCAAGCCAAACAGGACTGCAGAGTTCTGGCTTCCCGAGGCACACGACTGCTTTATTCTCCCTCGCTCCCTCTTCCTCCCCCACGAACTCACAAAGCAGCAGCTCTACACGCCGCAGTCCTCCTGCAAAGGGTTAGGAAGAAAGCAAAGGGACACGCCGTCCCTGCAGCCGAGCTGTGCATCGCCGCTCACAGCGCGGGTTCCTGCGGCTTGTTAAAGCTCAGACCATTAGTCCAGAGTGACTCTGGATTCGGGGTGTTTGTTCCAGGATCTCAACAGGGAGCTCTGCTTTTTAGAAAACACGTACTTATTGCTGCATAAAAGTCAAAACCCTCCCCCTCACTTTCTAAACATCAGCTGAGCAGTTGACAGCCAAGACATACAAAAACACTTGTGACTTGAAAACCCTGGCCAAGCATTTCGCTGTGCAGCTGAGCATCTGTGGTACACATAAATTTGCTGTTCTCTCTGGCAGATTTGCCTGAGTCATTACCTTGCCACAGCTCCTACAGTGGTGTTTCCTGCGAATGACGGTGAAAGGAGCCTTGCACGCAGTGCAGTAGCTGCAGACTTCATCTGGAACCCAGTCAGGGGGATCTGTCAGAAACACAGCAACAAATGGGAACATAAATCAAAAGGGAATAAAAACAAACATGCGATTAGCAGATCCTCAAGGGAGTAGGGAGAATAAAATATAATGGCAGCTTCTTTCATCCGAGTTTCTCAAGGTGCTTTGTGAACAGGCAGCGAGGCGAGTTCAGGGTGCCCGAGAGGGCTCAACTCCCCCCTTCTCGGCCGGGCGCCCACCTTCGGGCACTGAAACAGCTCACAGCAGCTCTGGACTCAAAATGAAATGCATGCTATTCAAGTGAAAGTGGCAGGGAAAAGGAGATAAGCAAAACAAAGTACGAAGACAAGAAACTGTTAAAGCAGAGCTGGAACACGGGTGTTTTTGTTAAATGCAACCAGCCATCAAAACAACCTTAGAGCTGAGATGGCTCCCAGCCTCTTCAGCCCTCCCTGCAGCAAGGCTGACTGCCTTCCTGCCATGAGGCAAGCAACTCCACAGACAATAAACTAGAAGCCTGATTACTGTCTGCTAAACTATTCAAACTCTTACTGGAAGTCACCAGTAACTACAACAAAGCCACAAAATCAAGTGCACGACTTAGAGAAAGAATTCGACCATTATCACGAACAGCGTGTTTCAGTTGCTTATTTCTCCTGTGAGCTCTCCAACCCCTCATAAAAGACAAGCAGGGAAATGATTTGGTTTTGGCAGAAGGTACTAGGCTCACTTCTGTTGAGCTGCTTCTGCTAGCAACAGGCTGACATGACCTCAGAGAGTCGAAAATTACAAGTGTAGAAATGAGGTAGCCGATTGCTTAATTAAGTCGCTAAAAATCTAATGCAGGGCAAAGCAAGTTCTATCCAGAAGGAATCCACAGACACAGTGAAGATGAACTGCTGGACGTATTTATCAAAGTTCCCTGTATGCAGCTTCTCTCCAAGTATTATTTACAGTATGCAACCAATTGCTGATTTATACACCTGACAAGCAAGATCCCTGCCTCAAGAAGCATATTATCAAACAACAAAATATATGGTGCAGTTAATGCAGAGGTCAAGAGGGCTACAGCTACAGGCAGAAGAAATTTCTTAAATGAAAAATCTACTGTATTCTTCAAACATAACCGTGACCAATTTTCATGTTTATCACATTGCAATATTTGCCAAATTAAAAGTAAAAAGGACAGAGCATTCAGTGCAGAAAATGTTCAAGAGCAGATTAATAAAACCAAAGAGAACTTCAAATCTTGACTCAGTTTTTATAGTCTCCTAAATTGTTTTGGAAGTTAAATTAGTGTGAGGAAGAAGTCTTTCTTTGAATGAACAAACTGGTCTGATAAAGGTCACAGCTATAGGAACAGCAACCAAAACCTGTGTGTGGAGTAATGACCTACGTGGTGAAAAAAAGGAGACTGCACATAGCAGCCTTCACCTCATCCCTGGGAGCAGTTCAGCAGAAGATCTTCTGCGGGGACTACAGAACCCTACTTCAGAAGCAGGCTTTCCTATGGCAGCAGGGAGATGCAGGACTGCCAGCCTAAGTCGAAGCATTCATAGCAGTGAAACCAAGGGATTTTCCATTCCAATTCTTTTCCTTCTCTGCAGCCTGCCTAGCCACTACACATCACTTGCCCAGTGAAACTTACTCCTAGCGTGATGTGGATTTCATATCACTTTCACAGGAACCTCTGATCTGAAACCATGGCAAGCCCGCTGGCCTTGGAGCATCTCCATCTCTCCATTCAGGATGTCCTGTGGGTTATCACATATATTCCAAACAAAGTAACTGAGCCAATAACGATATTCCTGTTTAACACTTGCCATTAGACTACATAGCCTTGATCATGTTTTCAGATATTTAACTATCCCCTTGATTCTCACTAATTTTAAAGAAAGCAAAATTTAGGAAGATATTCAAGCTCTGTGCTGCCAGGTCTCCCTTCCAAGTGAACACAGAGCTGGTGGAAGCAGGTTTGGCAAGATGCCTACTTCACTACCAATGCTTTATCAACTGCATTGTAACGTGGGCTACCATGTGCAGCTAGTTACTAATTTTAATATTCACAGAAAAGCCAAAAAACACTGTCCCTTTCTGTACAAACTGCAGCATGCCAACATGAACAACAACTTCTACAGCAGCTAGTGCCATCATCACTCTTTCACTTAGATCATGAAGTTCAGACATGTTCTAAGCCAGTGCAAGCCCACCACAAAGAGTCTGGAGCTCACCAACAGAAAGCAGCTTTCTTATCAGGTGTTACCATTTGTGGTTGTCTTTTTTTTTTTCCTGTTTTTGCCCCTGAAGTGCAACACTGAAAAAGTTATTTTTTAATTGACCTTGTATGGATTTAATTGTCTCCAGTGGTAAATAAAAAGAAAAATTGCAAAAAACCCCCATGAGAAACAGCAAATTTCTTTTGATAAATCATGACCTTATAAACTCATAATAGCCATATAACCCATAGTTCATGGTTACAGAATTACTTGACTGAGAGATGAATTAATCTGCAAGCTTTGTTTTTGTAATTGCTTAAAAAGAAAAAACACATCTCCCTGGTACTCAATGTATAGAAATAGTATAACCTCTGTACAGAACGTTCTCCCACATTAGGGGGCCTTCTCTTTACCACCAAGCTGGTGTCACACCGGCTGATGCACTAAATTAACACATCAGTAGAGTGAGCTCAAGGACCTGTCTTCCCCCAGACAGTGACTCAACACCAGTAAGGCCCTTCGAGGGGGCTACGCAAGAAGCCCCATTGCTTCTGGGCTTTAGTGCCCTCCTCACATCCCAACTGCTCGCACCAAGCTCTGCTGCACTGCAGCACACCCCCAAATAGTAACACTTAGTTATGTAACAGCTTTTAATATTCAAAATGCTGTACAAACACTAATTGCTTTAATCCTCATCACCCAGCTACAGTTGGTGTGTGGGGAGAAAGCGGGAGAGAAATATCTTGCCCAAAAACATATAGTGGCCCAGTCCTGAAATAACATTCAGATTAAGAAACTTTGAGCCGTCAGCCCTCTGCCTTGGCTCCCAGCTGTGACCGAGGAAGTCCTTACACTGAGTACAAACACAGAGCCTTCATTTCGAGAGCATGCACTTAGAAACGAAACGCAGTCCTGGACTGGAGCCGAAGTGCTCGCACTGGCAGCAGGATGGAGCCCCGAGTGACTTGGTGGCTCCAAGCCCGTGCAAGCCCCAGTGGCAGCGGGATCAGACCCCCAGACCCCTTTCACATGCCTCATCTCCCTCAGCCTTGGGAGCTGCCTTTCTGACTTCCATATATGAATGATTGAGTCATCAGGCTTTTTATAGAACAGCTTTTTGAAATATTCTCTGAAGAGCAGTCTCATGAGGGGATAAAGCTTCAAGATGAGGAGCAGAGCGAGTTATACAAATTAAACCCCTAGCATTAGCCTGCAGGTGTGTTGGAAGCAGGGCAGTAGCACTGCACCCCTAGGCTTTTTATGTTACAGCCCTTCTCCAGGCTGCGCTGCTCCGTTAGCTCTGCATACAGCAGCAAATGGAAACATCCAGTCTCTAAAGCACTGTCTGCCTGTGCTTCAGGGATTTGTACAGGGAATGGACGGAAAACCTCATTCGTGGGCTAATTGGCCCACTGCTTTATGATGCATCGAGAGCAAAGAGATGTCTGCTGGGACACGGATGAAGACCACAGTACAAAGATCAAAGAGGAGGAGGAAAGGAGGGAAGGGATTAACGAGACAGAAAGACCACAGAAATAAATTTTGGAAGAAAACATTAAAAGCATGTGCAGAAAAAAGGCAGGGAAAGGAAGAGAAACAAGTATTTAAGTGAATAAGAAACAAGTCTAGAGACAGGAAAAGGCACAAGATAAAATCAAATAATGTTAAGACTGAAAAAAGACATCTAAAAAAGAGAAACAGTATTCCCAACTCTTAACTATTAGAAAATCTTGCATTATGATCTTTCATAAATCATGAAATTTTGTAGTCTTTTCATCCATTTTATGCTGCAGCTTTTAGAGTTCATCTTTACATGTCTCTGCAACTTCATTAGCTAAAAAAGTTTTTCATTCTATAAAAGTTAAAAATCTCACATAAACCCAAGATGCTGGAGCTTTAAGAAAATCACAATAATTATATAAATCATAGGTGTTGTAAACACTGTCAAAAAAGCACATGCAAATTCATTTTGCTTAAATATGTGCAACAGATCCCATCTAATCTTCCAAATCTGTGCAGTCCCACCTAATCTTACAAAACCAAGGAGAACACCTGTGTGTCCCAGAACACAAGGAGAAGACAGCCTGGACCCAGATCCACCAGCAGCGTTGATTCAAACAAGATTAGCACTCCTTCAGTGGTGCTGAGACACAAGATACTGGGTCCGAGAGGGAAATAATCCCAAAAGTTGTTGGAGCTTGTAGAAGGCCTAATTCAGCAAATCTGTGCTCTAGCAGAAAGCAAATCGGAAAGCACGCACGCCATGACTCCCTGTTGAACAGCAGCCACTAAACCCTATGCTTGTGGCAGTGTCTGCATTATGGCCAGACAATTCAGTGAAAATACCCTTCCGGCATCTTTTGTTTTTATCAAATATTCCTAATGCAGAACTCAAACGGAAAGTTCCTCCTGCGTTGACCTGTATTAAGATTTTTAGAGCACACCATGCGTAACCTGGATTATACTTCTATCAAACTAACCTTAACTGGGCTGTTCCTACAGCAGCCTGTGGAACATACACCACTGCAGCCGTCAAAGTGCATTACCCTCACAGCTGCACCAAAGGGCAGACGGGCTTGCTGGAGCTCTTCTGATGAAAGCAGGAGTTGTAAATTCTCACAGTTTGAGTATGGACAGTAGAGAACAAAGGTGACATGACTTCACCCCTCACTTCAACTGCAGTAAGATGAACCTTTTTGTCTCTTATCACACATAATTTTCTGCATGTCATTCTGGGCCATCTCTGACTTATACGCGATTCCTAGGACGCAGTTGTACCAAAGTAATCTTTATCCTTACTCAGTAGATTCAGT